GCTTATAGCTTCTTTTTCGCATTTTTGTTTGTTTACTAGAAAGTGTTGTGTGTAGTTGTTGTCACTGCTATTTTTATAAAAATATTCGCCGAGGTTATTTGATATTTGATCTGGTTTATTTATTAATTGGTTAGAATTTGGGTCGATTAAGTTGATTTTTTTATTTCGTCTGAGTCCTTTTAGAGATTGTATTTTGTTCCAAACTGATTTTGAGTCGGTGTTTTCTTTTATGCTGCTAGTGAATTTTTCCCATGACGATTTTTTACTGGTTTTTATCAGGAATTTTGATTTGGCTCTTAAATGTTTTAGTAGTATAAAATCGTCTAGTTTATTTGTTTTTTGGAACTTTCTAAGGGCGTCGTTTTTTTCTTTAATTGAATTTTTAATGTCGTGGTTCCACCATGGTACTTTGGGTTTGGGGTTTTTTGATTTGGTTTTTCCTATAGTCTGGTTGGCTACTGAGATAATTGTTTCCGTAAATTCGTCAACCAAGTTTTCTGTGTTTTGAAATTCAGATTTGTCTATATGGGAAACTTTGTCATCTAGTGTTTCAGAGAAAAGTCTCCAGTCTGGGTTTTTCAGATTCCATCTTTCGAGGTTGGGGATGCTATCGTTATAACGGGAGATAAGTTGTATTACAATTGGAAAATGGTCGCTGCTAGTAATATTGGGTAGGACCGACCAGTTGAGCCTTTGTGCTAGGGATGCATTTGCGAATGATAAGTCAATATTTGAGAAGTTGCCATTAGTTGGATTTATACGCGTTGGTTCCATGTTGTTGAGTAGTACCAGATTATCGTTTTCCAGGATTTTTTCGATTTCTTTCCCTCTGCTGTCGGTGCTTAGGGAGCCCCAACTGACGTTGTGGCTGTTGAAGTCACCTGTTATGATGAAGGGCTTGGGTAGTTGCTTTATTATATTTTCTATATCTTTATCCGTAAATGTGTGTTGGTTGGGTAGATATATGTTGCATACGTTTACTTCAATATCATTGAGTTTTACTGCTACTGCGATTACTTCAAGGTGGGTTGAGATATAGATTTCTTTAGATGGGTATATAGAGCTGACGTATGTTGTTACTCCACCGCTGGCCCTAAGTCCAGTGGTTCTGTGTTTGCCAAAATCATTGTAGTTGGGTAGTTTTGCGGTATTTAGATTTGTAAAGTTGGTTTCTTGGAGACATATTATGTCAGGAGAGATTTCGGATATTAGTATTTTTAGTTCGTCTAACTTTTTGTAGAAACTATTCATATTCCAATGTAGTATTTTCATTATTATTTTGTGTTAAATTTTTTTTTTTTTTTTAATTAAGGTTTGATGGGGGCGAGAGATATGAATAGGATTTTTTTATGTTTTTTATAATTGCTCTGTGGTAGGGTTGTTACCTAGAGTTATATCGAGTAGGGAGTTGGAGAGTCTGGATAGCCTGTTTTTGATGCTTAGATTTTTAACCTTAGGGCGGATCGTATCCAGAATTTCGATCATTTCCATCCACGATATATTGAACTCCTTTAGAACACTAGAAGGGTCCTGGGTGCTGAGTGTATTTTCTATTATGTATTTGAGTTGATTAAAATCTATTTTTCGATTTGGCATTTTTTCAAACTCCAGCTTGGCTGATGCTAACGACTCGTCTAATTTTAATATAATTTGTTCAATTGAGTTTGATCGTTTTGGTTTTTTTGTGAGCGGTTGAGTTGGCTTATTGGCTTTAGGGTTGGAATCGTTGGTCTTTGGAGTTGTAGGATGTGTTGTTGGTGGGTTGTTTGCTTTTCTTTCTTTGGATTGTGACTCTTTTAATTTTGTTACTAATGAGCTCTTGTTGATTATTACGTTTTGTGTGATACTTTTTGTTTGAGATAGATTAATTGGATTTTCTGTGGTGAGGTCATTATCCATGTTTAAAATGCTAGAAGATGATGAAGGCGCTGGTCGTTTTACTTGTTCCACTTGTTCTTGGGAGGAAAATGGAGAATTACTAGTACTGTTTGATTGGTGTTCGAAATCATGTTGTTGAGTGTTGCTTTCTGTGTCGTTGACGCTTGGGATAGAATTTTGGTGGCTCTGTTGGGAATCAGTAATTTTATTTTCTATTGCATTTTTGCATCGATTTGATGTGTGACCAGTTTGTTTGCACAGGTAACATATTACCGTGTCATCTGATAGAAAGATACGGTATTCTGTTTGTTCGAATTCAATTAAGATTGAGCTGGGTAATTTATCATTGTCGTCTGGGTTTATATATAATTGTCGGCGGAAGCTACCAATATGCCCGTATTCATTATCAGTGAAACCGGCTTTCATAAAGGTAATCGGTGATAGTATTTTAATTGAAAAATTTGCGATTGCGTTTTTAATTGCTTCGTGCGGTATGATCGGTTGAACGTTAGATAATATTATTCTTTTGGCTGGGTTAATTAGACGGCGGAATGTTATCTTTGAATTATTTATGACAATGTGTGACTGCTGGCTAATTATTTGTTCGACAATATTTTTATTTGTAAAGTAAATGCAAAATCTGTTATTAGATATTCTAGATGCGAAAGTGATGTTGGTTGGTGAAGTAAGTTGACTGAAGGCTTTAATATACTCAATTTGAGGGACATCTTCAATAGAGTTAAAAACGATTGCTTGGTCTTTTTTTGGAAATTGTATGTTTGCTGTGGTTTCTGCGAAAGTTTTGGTGTTGTTGGTTTGAGAAGCGGACGGTGAAGTGTCGAGAGAGTTGGGTTTGGTGGGATCCATATTTTGGATATGAGGTGGGGGGGTCGAGGTTTTAGGCACCTGATGTAACAATGGTTATCGATAGTGTGTCTACATACCTTCTTGATTGCTGCTTGTCGAGTTTTACTGCTATCGGAAGCTATATAAATGCGATTTGCGTTGACCGTTGCACACGTGTGTATCGGTCGGAGGTATAGGGTGAGACAAGGGAATAATTCCAAGAGTTTTGTAAAGACCCGTTCACCAGACAATGTCGTACTCAGCAGTAAAGTCAACTAGCACAGCTGTAGTCTTTAGATTCTTTCAAAATCCGTTTTCCATAAATTAAGTTATGGCTGCTACTTAGTCTGTACAACAGGGGTCTCCAAACTTTTTTAATCAAGGGCCACAAAAAAAATCAAATGCTCTTAGCGGGCCAAAAGTTTATTAACACATATAATTTTTAATTTTATGATAATATAGGTACCTGTATAAATAATATGTTTACTTTATATTTTTGTATAAAATATTGTTTACTTTACAATATACTTAAATAAAAATAAATAGATATAAATACATTTTTGAAATATTTTTATATATATATCTTTATTTACCTATGCGTCCTATGCGGGCCACGGGCCGGTTAAAACTTGTTCGCGGGCCGTAGTTTGGAGACCCTTGCTGTACAACATCGGTTTGGTCTGAACCCAGCTTGTTCTATGGGGACCACTTGATCGATAGTTGGACTAATGTGATTGTAAATCAATCTTTCGAGGAGTTTATAGGTAACGCATAGTAGTGCGATCGGTCGATAATTTGAGATCCTATCAATAAGATGGGTGTATCGACGTATCGTGTATGCTATAATCACGATTAAAGATATAATTTAATGATATAAATTTAAATATATAGGTATATATATATATATATATATAAATATATAAATTTATCCATAAATGGCATTTTATCCCACAACGGGCACCGCATTTCGGGGTCCTGTGGGAGGCCACATTTACGTCAATAAAACAGAATTTCATATGACAGTCGCAACTACTAATTTAACATATTATGATAAAATGTATAGGTACCATACTTGTATAAATTCAAGTCCCCTCGTACCTCTATCAGATGATCTAAATTACGTTTCTGTATATACCACTGCGCACTTCTTAATATTTGGTTCACTTTAGTATCTGTTTATCTGTACCTCAATCTAATTAAACTCATCAAAAAGGAAATTATTTATCATGATAGGAAAGAGTCTAAACAATTACTCAGGGAATTTGGAAAAGGTGGAACGGGAAATAAATGAATCAACTTCAGGTGAGGGCTAAGTGGTATAAACCAGCCAATGCTGATATTAGGATTGGACAATGGTGCTGATCAAGGAGACAAACATGCCACGGTGATGTCGTGCAAACATGATTTTATAATTTATTATTTTATGTATAAAAGTTGGTGGGCTTTTTTTAATAATACCATTATTTTGAAACTGTGTGCAAGTGGGCGTATACATGGGACGAATCAATAATAAGAGTTACAGATATTTGAATATTCCACATTTTAAGTTAGTTCTTCGGTTTCCGTCTGTCTTGACGTAGTTAACAATACAATGACACTCTCCGCGTATTATAAATATGTATCTAATGTAAAAAAAATTAATAGGACACAATAATAGACAATAGTAACTATTTACATTCAGAGCTAAAATTATTATACACAGTCCACAAAAAGTCAAAGATAATCAAACAGACTCTTTTTGAGCTATTTATAACCTTAAGAAATTTGTTTTTAATTATTGTCCATAAAAATGTATGTAATATATTTATATATTTAAGATTTATGTTTATTGTAATAAAGGTACTTAAAAATTATTATTAATGAATTATATTAAAGACACAATAGTCAAGACTACCTAATAAAAAATTTCCTGGTCACGACAACATCACTAATCTTATGTACAAAAAACTACCTATTAAAGCAACTATGTTCTTGACTTCCCTATTTAACTCGCTTCTTCATCTTGGTCACTTCCCGGATAACTGGAAAAAAGCAATCATAATCTTCATAAAAAAAATCTGGGAAAGACAAAACAGACCCTGACAGCTACCGATCAATTAGTCTACTAACATCGTTATCTAAGATTTTTAAAAAATTCATTCTTTCTAGACTGCAAAATTACCTAAACTGTACAGACACAATTCCAAAATTCCAATTTGGTTTCAAAGCACATCACTAAATTATACAACAACTCATGCTTATACAGAACATATAAGTAACTCATTTGAAAAACACTGTCACACTTGTGCCGTTTTCATAGACATCTCTAAGGCCTTTGATAAGGTTTCTGTTAAAATAAATGACAACTTTTCTTCTTTCCAACCAATCTTAGCTGGCGTCCCACAAGGATCAATACTTGGCCCAACATTATTTAACATATACACATCCGACATCCCGAAGTCACCGCACACAAACATAGCCCTCTTCGAGGACGATACCGCCATTTACTCTGAATCTCGCCACCCAGAAGCAGTATCTGTACATTTTCAAAACCACTTAAATACATTATCTGCCTAGTGCAAGAACTGGAAGATATCAATTAACCCATCAAAAAGCGAAAGTATTTTATTCAGTCTACGCCGTAACCCTACTCCACCACCTCTAACTTTTAACAACAATGAACCAATCGCATGGAAGCCGTCCGTCAAGTACCTTCGGCGTGACGTTGGACAAAAGATTAACCTGGTGGCCACACCTCTCATTTAAACTCCAACAAGCCTATTAACGTCTAGGGATGCTCTTCCCTATCTTAAACAGGAAGTCTTCGCTACAAAAAAAACTTTCCCTACTTATTTATAAGCAAATACTACTTCCATTAATCACATATGCTTGCAATATGCTTATACCATACCTATGTATATCTTATTAGTTGTAAATCTGTATATATCAAACTTTGTTTTTCAAAAGGGCTAGACCCGTAAATATAAATATAAATAAATAAATAAATATTTGGGGTAAATGTGCACAAACTCATCTTAATAAACTGCAAATATTTCAAAACTTTAAGAACGATAACAAATGCTCCATGGTTCGTAAGGAACTCAAGCATACACAAATACCTCAAAATTCCAACTCTTCAAAACCACATCAAGTTCTTGGCTGCTTCGAATCCATCCACAAGTCAACAGGCTCATTGCACTACCACATCAACATCAGACCACATACACAACGCCCACCGCCTCCAACGTGGTCGCCCGCATGACCTAATTCCTCAAGAAACACTCTAACTTAAACCTCTAACTAGAATTATCATTTAACATAAAATTGTAATAATTAATTATCGCACTTGACGCGTCAAAATGTATTAATTATCCTTCATCTCTAGGTATAGATAGCAACTAGCTAGGAATACCTTATTGTAATAAAATAAAAAAAAAACCTAAAAACCTAAATCTTTTTGCTATTTTTCTTTATCGTAATTATTGATTCCACCAGCCATAAACAATATTATTATTTATCACTGATAAGGATAACATATAACAAGCAATTCGTTTTACAGTTGATTTGTACTGTATTTTTGTAAACGATCACTCCGTCAACTTTACCCATTCCCATTTTGTGATAAAATCAAATAAATAATTTAAACTGATTCATAACATTATTTTATAGTTTAAATAGAAAGTACAATAATAATGACTTTAATTGATTGTATGATATTATCAACTATCATTATTAGATTCTGAGTGGAGCGAGGGATCTATTGGTTTTACAATGGTGTTTATTAAATTCTGAGCGGAGCGAGGAAGCTAGTGGTTTTACAATTGTGTTTATTTTTATTTTTTTTTTTGTTTATATCCTGTATACAAAATTTCTACCAGAAGGAGTGCTTCGATTTCTACATATAGTACGTTATATTTTAGCAAATTGGATCAATATGGTACTTTAAACAGCCAAACAGGCAATTTTTCGATTTTCTCAATATTTATTTAATTGCACAGGAAAAACCACCGACAAATTATAAAAAATCACTAAAAATGAGGTTTCGATTTCTAACACTTTGTTCATCACTATAGAAACAAATAAAATAAAAATAATGATTTTAGTTATTTTGTTGTAATTTATAATATTAATTCAACTTACAGGCTATAATAAAATATAATAAAATATAATAAAAATATAAAATATACATACTGACAAACCGTCTCTGCTCAGAATCGTTTTTCGTATACATAATGATATGATATCATTGAATTCAAATTTAATACAATCCATTATACAGTGACCAACTTGTAGCCTACTGTACGGAAAAGCGACATCCACTTACCCACTTTTTTAATATTTATTATTATAATATGGGGGTCGTGAGACAAAACCCTTACGGTTTATTTTGTAACAATTTTTTCATCCCCTTCCATTGAAATATCCTGAGAACGCCTCTGCACTCATAAATCTTTACCAATATTTTGTGAGATAAATGCATGCATTTGTGCGTTAATACTGTGAGTTAGCCGTTGATGAGCTTCAGGCAAAATAAGAATAGGTGGGCCAACATCATATATGTAGCCCACCCATGTTGCTGGTAGGTCAAAAATTTCAAAATATACACAAAAAGATGCGCAGAGATCTGCAAAAATTTCCTAGCCAACTATCAACATTTTTAAAACCCATGATATTGTCCCACACATATAATATGTCCTATAACTTTGATTTTGGTATCAAGAGATAGCGTGTTTTTGCGAGAATTTGCATGTCAACTTTCAGAATTTATGAGCCACCTTTTTACTCACCAAACCCATTTCATAATTCTTCATAAGAATTGAAATGTGGCATTTTTCATTGTTTTTCAAATATAATATTATACGTTATTTTGGCTTACTAGTCTTTCATTTAACAAAAACAAAACGTTTTTACACTTGGATTTGGCATATAGGTACAGTGTGTACATTATTAATTTTTCATTATCAATTATTTAATAAAATATTGAAAATGTTTGTCCATTTTCCATTTTAAAATATGTAGATAGAGTGATAGACTCTATCCGATAGCGGATAGAGTGGTGTCCGTACACAAAATCAAACCGAAAAAAGTGCGCCTTGTGCGGTAGTGACTATATTATTAATTATTATATAATTACATCAGTACCTTTCGAGTAACAACATCGGGGCCTATTGGTGGAAATATAGCGTATCTATACATGATATTATGGAAGAGGAAAAATTTAAAAATATGGAAATCCTATAATCGGCGGCGGTGGACGGTGATGAAGGTAGTCGACTGTGACGAAATAATATATACTCTGCGGCTAATGTTTTGGCGAATTTATTAACGTTATATTTTTTTTCACAACAAAAATATTAACATAATTTATGAAAGCGTTTTTGTATCGCGTGTAATAGATCATAATTTTTATTATAAACGGCCGAAAACGACTCGCGAGCAGCTGCAGCTACTGCCGATGCCGTAGGTAGGTATTTATGAATTATGTTTAATTTACCGTTTCACCACAGGAATCTATAATATAATAACAACGTTGTTATAGCATTAGAAAAATCGTTCGGTGGTACCTATTTAGTTATATACCTAGTGCAGGGAACCTTATAAATTTTAAGTCAACAGTGTTGCGACTGTGATGTTTTAGTAATAAATTATAGTGCCAACAACAACAAATTAAAACACTGAGATAAGAAAAAAGTCCCAAATAAAGTTTTTTATGCAGCACAGCCAAAGTAAACGTTTGATCTCTTCAATTTATTATATATTCTGATATATTCATATTCATATTTGTTTTTAGTATTTATGAGGATTTTTCATAATTGTGTATCCATATCGATGTAAGACGCACACTTAGGTATATATTTGATTAGTATACATATAGACTATAGATACAGATACCTAGGTACTCGAGAACTTGATAATAATATTTATTAAATATATTTTGAAATTTAATTGCTTATTGAGTATATTATTATGATTAAGTATATAATATGTTAAAAATAATTAGTTTAAAATGTAGGTATAGTCGCTGAGAATAATCATAAAATATGTGCACTTGACACGCATACATGTAGTATGTGATCTTAACCATCGAAATAAATATATAATATATTGAATTATATTTTTTTCTCGTCCGATATCGGTGCAAAATTAAGCGGTCCACGCGTACCATATTTTACTATTATTATTATATTACTATCGCTCAAAAAAATTCAAAATAAAATACTGTAACATATTATGTTTGCCCTGAGGCTAAACGGACAAGCTGTTAATTCGTGACGGTTTATTAACGATTACCATGGGTTTTCTGTGACGACAAAAGGGAACCGATGTATAGGTATACGTCTTCTCCTCGGTTGCACGCATGTTCTCTAGTTTAAAACGTATTGAATACAAAGCATTTCATGGTGAATACGACGTATCCACACACAATATAATACACATACTATCTAACACCGTCGTCTCGTCGTCGCGGAGTCATCTAATAATAATAATAATAATAATATAATGTCCGTCTTTTATATTATATTATTATATATTTTAAAGCTATTTAATTTTCCTATCAACCAACACACGCAATTAAACCAGAAATGTGCAAATTATTTTTATTAAATTTAAAAAACAAAAATTTATCAAAAATTAGTAATTACTATTTTATTCCAAATAATTTATTATTTACTACGGGTTTTTTGTTTTTTGTATTATTCTACTGAATATTACGTAAAATACCTCAAAAGTTTCATTTTCAATTCTTCCTTTTAATCGTCACAATCTTAGCTTTTCTAAAATCGAGTATCGGTCGTCAATTGGTCGTTAATCGTTTAATTTTATACTATTCGGTACATTTTAGTTATCATGTTGTCTCTATCTAGACCTTTGCTTCAATTACTAATTTGTAAGTATTGAAATTAAGTTTGAAAATGTCCAGGTTATTTGATTTACCATTTGGTCACATTGCTGATATGAATTTTGTGTATGGATTTTGTAACGGCAATGCTCGAGCCACAGTGCGAGAGTATAGGCTCCGATATCTAGGAAGACCAGTTTTGGGATATCGATCGTCCATCGCAGACACCTGGAAGAGTTTCGTTTAGACGTCGTAATGAACAAGGCGGAATGTTGGATGCTGAACTCGAAGAAGAAGTTTTGGATATAATTACGAGGGATCCAACTACGAGTATCCGTCGCATATCTGCAAGGCTGGGTATACCAAACATCTCTGTATGAAGAATTTATATAGCCTCTTCATCCATCTCATTTATGCCGATCTCACAATAATTTGATATTTGGGGATGGTGTGGCAAGATCAATTTTTTGTATGCGGCTCCTTCGTGAACACAGAATAACTGTCGTATATCTATATATATATTCATATGCAAGTATCAAACTCAAGAGCGATACAATATAATATACTTAAAACATTTAAGAGACCGTTTCACAGATTAGCATTTACCTATAATACGTCTATGTAAGACTATATAATAATGTAATAGTGTGATGTTACTTTCAC